AAAGTAATACAACTGTTATATTAATTTGTTTTCTTCTTCTCTTCTGTAAAACTCCGTATTATTTTTTAGGATTCATCGAAAGCCGAATGATTTCTTTTTCTTTTTTTTAATAAACGATTTATTTTTCGAAAAATCTGACTAGACGTAGTGTACAATTTTTTTTCACTTGAAAATGTTTGAATTATGTTAACTATGCCTTCTCTATATACATTTTGAACATCTTTGTTTTAAGCACACAATATTACTAATATTTTTATCGTGTCCTGTGAAATTCTTTCATATTACAAAAATAATATTAGGGCGCTAAAATTCCTAATATTAGTACATGTATTTAGATCCTAGATATGTTATCATTGGGTTATTAATATCGATATCAGTTCATGTATCGCTCTATCGTTATATACGTTGAATCTCTTTGTAACTAAACAAAGCAAGACTTGCATTCAGTGACCGCGCGCGTGCCTTTTGTCCGTTTTATTTTTGTCGTAAATTAATATAGTGTTACATTATTTAAATGATGGCCAGTTTTCTTATGTTCCAAATTTAAAATTTAACGTTTATATGCGAAATTGGAGTATTAGTGTAAGTTAATATTTCCTTTAACAGTTGTATCTTCATCTCTCTGCGTAAATAGAATTTATTGCTTCTCTTGTACAAGATCGGGATGAAGGGAATTCTTTTCCTACTTAATTTCATGTCAAATACTCTTCATTTTATCCTTTTCACAATAATTATGGTAGGAACTAAACCGGTGTTTATCTTATCAGAAGGGAGACAAAATAGTCCACTTCACTTTTGTTGTGAGGTCCTACTACATATTTTAAAAGAATGAATTGGCATATTTGATAACATTGTTGCACTCTACCTTTACTCAATTTCTGGAGTAATATTTCTAATCTATCTATCTTCTATTCATATTATAAAATAGACACACTATTTGTAATATCAAAAGAAAAAAATTCCAGATTTCGGGAAGATAATGTATTTGCGTTGCTAATAAAGAAAATTTAAAACATTTAAAAAACATCTTGTCTATCTGTTCGCAAGCCGTGTTTGTTCCGGGTAATCTCCGAAACTGTTCAGCCGATTTCGAGCGGACTTTCACTGAAGGGTAGCTGACATAGACGGGCTTGTTATAGGCTACTTTTTTTATCTTAATATTGCGATTAAGTCGCGGGGAACAGCTAGTCTAAAAATAAAACGAATCAAAATCATTTCTAAATAAAGGACAATCAATCAGCTGATATAATCAAATTGATAATAATCATATAGATATTAAAGTAATACATTGTTTTGATTTAAAATTTAATATCTTGATAAGAAAAATATTTAAAGACTTGATTGTATCTGTACTGGCTTAAACAGGGGAATTACCGAGTCTTTTTAAAAAGATAAAACACGTACAAAATATCTTATGAAAGAGAGGTATCTCCCTGTCATTTTCACACTAACATGATCTAGCTTTTCGTTCTGTAGATGTACCTTCTACCATTTCAATTCTCACTCCCTTCATAACCATATCCAAGGCATACCCCTACCGATACCGGCCATGTTCAGAATTAAAATTCTCCTTGTCAAATGCCTTTGTTTTTGCAAGTGAGTTATTGTCCTTTATCCTTCTATCTTATGTAAAACAAGAATCCATCCCTTCTTATCCAATCTTACTTAAATCAAAACTAGCTTTCTCCCGCGACTCCGTCCGCGTGGAATTAAAAAAACCAAAACTGAGTAGCCTATGTGTTCTTCCAGACTATCCTCTATATCTATGCCAAATTTCATAGAAATCCGTTCAGCCGTTTAGGCTACAAACTCTACCAAACATCCATCTACCTCGCATTTATAATATAAGTATGAAGTATGATGTCTCCTAGTGTGAGATTTTAATGTTTTTATCTAATACGTTTCTATTGTCTCTTGAATAGCTACAATGTCATGTGGAGTCTTATTTTTCTGGTTCTTTTGTTTTACTGTTTTTTTTAATTAAATACTGTTCATAAAAAGTTTATTATATAGTTTTAATTGACGCAGTAAATTGTAATGATCGTTTTAATTTTATGATGTTTATTACTAGCCTTAGGTTCGTCTGTTTTGATTTCTGTTCAATATAATTATTCAAACTTTTCGTTGAGTTGTTAATTAGATAGATAGATAAAGCCTTTATTCTCTGACAATTTACAATATATAAATTGTTATAGTTAAATATAAAAGTATTTAATTTTCCAGCATCCAATTGCGTGTCCGGTTGTCATTCGACATAGACTCTGTTCTGAGATGTGATGATTTTAAGCCAGAAAGCACGTATAGACTTAAATACAGAGAGATAAGATTGTTGTTTCGATTCTGACATTAGATTATTTTTATTACTTTGACATGGTCTATCTTTAAGTTAAAGCTTTATTAGAATTGATAAATTATACTTCATACTAATCATACTAATATTATAAATGCGAAAGTTTAGATGGATGGATGTTTGTTAGAATTTGTAGCATAAACGGCTGAACACATTTCGATGATATTTGGCATAGACGTATAGAATAGTCTGGAAGAACACATAGGCTACTAAATTTTTTTATTTTTAATTCCACGCAGATAGAGTCGCGGGCAAAAGCTAGTACATTTTAATGTAACCTATATTTCATTTTATTTTAAAGAATTTATTTCAGCATCTACCATTGACTTGAATGCTTAAATGCTTTGTTTGGTTACGTTCATCCATAAAATGTCAACACGATGAACTCATTTTTCATGCTTGTAATTGTACCACAATTAAAGTCATGTCCATAGATTATCACTTTATCTAAAGCTGTTGTTGACACAGATATAAACCTGACGGTATATCTGGCCCGACTTAAGTGAAACTATATTATAATAGATCTTTAGGAAAGAATAAGTATCCTTTATGCCATTTTCTATGTCCACGTAGGTTTAGCAGTACCCATCTTAATACTATTTTGTTCAAGAATTAACAATAACGAGTAATAAAAAGTTAAGGTACCGTCAAAATGTTTTTAGCCGTAATAAAACTACATGTTACATCAGCACATGTAATATATTTCATCGAATTTCAAAATTATAAAAGTGAGACACCCCTGTAGTTGCTGCCTTATGGGTCAAAATTGCTTTGAAGATGACATTGTCCACACAATTGCCAACTACCATTGACTTTGTAGATCTATACTTTCAGACGTCAAACAATCTATTCCTTGATATAGATTGGTCCAAAATCAATACTTGTACACTTTATATCAAAGACTAGCCGTTCCCAAGCGACTTTCCCACATTAGGATTTTATCCAAAATATTTACCTCCTAAGTTTAATGGCGTGAAAATATATAGCCTAAAGCGTGACGTAAGTGTAGGGCCTTTTATTATAAAATAATTATTCAAAAATATTCTGCAATTGCTGAGATCTTAGGCAACAAAGAAGTGTGTATTTACGCTTTATTATAATAGTATAGATGTCAAAGAACATCTTTGATTGTATCAAACGAACGATTGATAGTGAAGAAATAGAGCGCGCGTGCATCGAGCTCTTAGTCTAATTGAAATTGCCATTGACATAGATAGAGCAGATTGTAGCTATTAGCGTGGGCTGTTTAGCCGAAGTCATTGAAACTAGACCAATCACAGGCATATTCGACAATAATTGAATAGTGATCGCCAATTGTTTGAAATTATACCGTTATTCATTTGTTTAATTATATTGATGTAAAAAAACAAAAGTGAGTAGCATGTGTGTTAATGCAAATTCCTCTACAACTATTCCTTTCATCCAGATCCATTCAGTTTAGGCTACAAACTCTAACATCCATCCATTCATCTATGCTTTCGCATTTATAATATTAGTAAGATAGCTTCATGTCTTCTTAAGTAGTAGTAAATGTAATAAAGTATCGGATTGTGTGACAGAGGATATGCTTAAGAAATGAGTGGATTCAGATATGGCTGATAGAGATGTATGGAAGAGCACATACCCTCCGTAACGGATAAGGGCAAAAGGATGATGATGATGATGAGCTTCAAATATGTCTTTTGACATATAAGCTTTAACTGTGCCTTTCTGATGTTTCCGCAATTTCTTCAAAAGTAAGTAAAGGCGCGCAAAAAAGGCCTGTTTCTTGTAATAAGACAAACTCCAATCAATTTACGTTTAATTGTAAACATCTTATTCAATGTTTTTATAAATATAAATGTATGCAAAAACATTGTAACCATTGATGTGAAACAAACACATTGTTCTCGCTTTGTTACAATACTTTATTGCCTTTTGATGTTATTAATACCGATAAGTTTATAGCTTAGGTCAGCTGTGATTAATTATGAAGTCGGACAATGTTATCTGAGGCGCATAGCGTTTAGAAAATACATAAATCCTAATTAGACTGAAAATAACAAAAAAAGCCTAAAGTATAACGAAATAGGGAACCACTAAAGTGCTTTAGACTGACAAGAACATTTGACAAAGTGGTCATGAAGACGGTTAAAAATTATATAAAAACCAACCCGTATCAAGCAAGCGTGGTTGATTATGCTAGTCCCTTAAAGTAGTTACGATTACTCTTTCAGATAATGTAGTATAGTAATTAATTTTATACTATTCTCATTATTATTTTCTATACCATCCGTCATTTAATTTTATTTATTTTGCCTCGTCTATATCTATACTAGTTTAAGAAGAATGATTTGTATTTTTGTATTTATTAAGATAACTCAATAACTACTGGGGCGATTTTAATAATTCTTTCACCGTTAGAAAGGTAATTTCACTGTGAGTAAGGCTATATATTTTTTCATCATCATCGTCATCACCAGCTCACTATACGTCCCCACCGCTAACGTAATCAACCATGCTAGCCAAGTGCGGGTTACTATATATTTTTTTACTATTTTTAATTTTCTCGAGGACGAAGACGCGGGCAAAAGCTAGTATTATTTGAATGTCTTTGACAAATGGATAGACAATGAAATTGTCAATTAAGTGACATGATTGTAAATATTACATTATTTAAATTCGTATGTAAAATTCATAATTTTCGTAAACTATCTAATTGAATAATATTATTGATATTGTAATACTGATTTTATTACAAGCACATGTTTCTCTTTACAATTTTGTAATAATCATTTGCGTTCAACATTTTTAGGTTATGCGGATATAAACTATAAGGTTTTTATTTAGTACTTCTAAAAGTAGAGAAATCTTCCGCTAAATGCTAGTGAACTGTGACTTGTTAATTATTACAGACACTAAGGGATTCACTATGGTGGAAGTAAGTAAGCATCTGTTCGACGAGAAATGCAAGGATGCTAGCTGTCAGATATTGCTGCACCCGTGGCATTCCAATTGCTTCATATCAACAATACCGGCGTATAAAAATTCATTTTTGGGCAGCGCGAAATTTTATTTAATCATACATCTGGTGAGTTTGGAGAAAATAAAGCTATACACTAAAGTGTGTTTAAATAAGATAGATTACTTTGACAATTTATAGGGATATCGAAATTTTATTCGACACTTCATATGCGTCATTTATCAAGCTAATCTATCTTATTTAGACAAACTATAAATTAACGCGGAATACTGAAACGAAATACAAATAGCGTCTTAAATGGAACATCAAGCTTAAACTCCAAATTCCTCTAACATTTTAACGTCTTTGAGATTGTAAGCGCACACAAATTTGACTAATCAATCGCAGAACTGAGCTAATATGAAGGTGCACACACAACTCGTTTAGTTGAACTAAACAGTTGAATTGACTGGGAAACAATCGACAATCACACATTTGACCAATAGATAAGTCAAAGGTGTGCCCGCTCTAGTCACTTATGGAGTGAAGTGTTTCAGTTTTTAGTATCCGGCATTTTTAATTCAAATTACATTTAAGCAGAAATTATACAATTACATTACTTAAACTTAAACATAACGTATGATAAGTTTGTTTCTCTTAAGGTACAAAATGTGATGCGTGGTAGAAAAGCATTTAAGAAGAAGGAAATAATACAAATGGGAGAATATTATTTGAGATCGACAATTCTCGGTGGATTGATCTCAGGCAGTTGTGTTACATTTGGTTGTTTATTTAGGTAAGGTAGGTTTACATATTACTTAAATACTACCGCGTACTAAGTGCCATATTTAAGAGAACAAAACATGAATGGAGTTGTTTTGATTTTTTTTAGGAAATTATATCAAATGCAACTTTGTAACCATGTTTTAGTGTTTTTATACTCGGTGAAACATTGTGTAAATCACAACTTTAAACTGTCGTGGTTTTTACAAATGTAATGTTAGTAAGATACGGGTTTCTTTCACGATCGGGTTGTTTTAGTTCCCGTATCTTACAAACATTATTTTGTGAAATTTATTTAAAGGTTTCATTCACTCGTAAGCAGTGTTTACTGTATGTGTCTCTAATAGCATATTACTAGCTTACGCCCACGACTCCGTCCGCGTGGAATAAAAAAATGTAAGTAGCGTATGTGTTCTTCCAGACCATTTGTAAAACGTCTATCCCAAATTTTATTGAGATCCCTCCAGCTGTTTTGGCTACAAACTCTAACAAATATCCATCCATCCATCTAAACTTTCGCGTTTATAATACTACAAAATCTTGTTTTACAGGTGGCTTTTAGGTTACAAAATGAATTATTATACTTATTTATTTTTACCAAGTGTGATAAATGGAGTTTGCATACTGCTGGAACCACCCAATAGAAGAGGATTGATTATAAATTTATTCTCTAACTTAGTACGTGTCATTAAGTAAGCTTATATTTTCATGTTATTTTTAAATTCCCGATATTAAGTTGAGAATCTTCAATATCAAATTAAACATACGTATTAATAAAATACCGCAATGAGAGTCTGGTCGAGTTCATTAATGTTTCCCTATAAGTCAACATTTAGGTAAATTTACCCTAAGGTAATAAAGAAATATGAGAAACTAAGAGATTCATAATAATATAGAGGAAACATAGCTGACATTTCATTTTAAACATTTTTCATAACCTCACTAGCGCTACCTGGTGTCTGATAGTTAAATTACTAACAAACAAATAAACCAAACATTAAAAATCTTCTCGGCGTGTCTTAGACATTGAGATATTACCTACCAAAGAAATTACCGGTGATAAAATGTCCCGATGTCTACTCTATTATTTTTTAATGTCTTTGGTCATAATATTGTTTTCCAGTTGTTATTATACTGATATATTAGTGATTTTAATATTCTGTAATATTGTTTTTAGACAATCGAGTTTATATTAAGGAGCTGGGAAAGATCTGGTCATTTAACGCTGACTACAACTAAGAAAACTTTAATGTTTATGATGGGTAGTGCTGTCCTGTTCTATTTATTGCGATTAGAAGGAGATAAAGCGTCTAGAACACCACTATTGTGGTAAGTAATTAGCAATGCAAATATCGTAATGGTTCAAACGCTCATACAATGTTAGTGTGTGGTTATCGTTCAATAATTCTGTTACTATACAATTCAGTGCGGTTGTTATTTAGCATCCGTAATTTCGTACAAGGCTTTCAAAATTAGCATAACTAACCTCAAACATTGTACTTATACAATACCTTTGAGAAATCTTACTAATCTAATGTTATAAATTTGAATCGATGTTTGTTTTTCGTAGCTTAAACTGCTAAACGGCTTTCGTTTTGGCATAGATGTAGAGGATAGTCTGATAGAACATTTAGGCTACAAAAGCTAGTAATAAATGTTTAAAATCAAATTGTAAACAATAATACAAATTCTTTATTGATCCAAAAAGTTTTGTACAGTTAGTGGGACTCCGTCTCCTGAGCTTGTAATAACTGTGTTTCAGGAGGCAGGGCCTTCTTTTAACAATTGTCTTGCTCAATTTAAAATACACTGTTAGAAAATAAGATGAGAATTATACATAAAAAGATAAATATTTTGTTATGAGCATAGTGTATTGTGTTTATATTCCCATGAATACGGGATTGCGATCTGGATGCGGGCGGCACAGGACCAAGCATTGTGGCAATCATTGGGAGAGGCCTACGTTCAGCAGTGGACGATATATGGCTGACAATGATGATGATGTTGATTCACGTGAATGAGCATGGATGCTTGTGTGTGTGTTATAATATATATTAATTTTAATATCTTTCGATTTCTAGGTTATTTACTCCAGAAAAAGTTAAACGTAAAACAGATGATACAAAATCATTTTGCCCCCACGATGATGTTTGTTGGAAATACGTGTTGAAGGTAAACAATGCTAATATAATGGATTTCTTAACGTTTAATTTGAATTAAAAAATAATTATTGTCTATGTCCATGGCTCCCATGCAAATAATTGTTTTCTATGTTGCCATATTTTTTTTACTTAATGTACATTGGTAATTAAAATAAAAAGTAATATAAATTACCTATTGTCTGTTGGTTTTATTTAATTTGTGTAACATTAGACTGATTTACAAAATAATGTTTTCTTACCAATTTCTTTGTTAATGGATAAAATATCGTAATTATATGTTAATTAATTATCTTATTGCGATTATTATTCTTGCATGTTTCTCGTATAATAATAATGTCTTGTGTTACAGGGTTCAGCAACTTATTTTGGTGTCGGCGCTGCTGTAAGCCTAGCTCAAGTTGTTTTACCAAAAATTACATCTCCTTTAAAAGCCTTGTCCTCAATCCGAGGATCACATTTGAAATTGGCGCTTTTCTTTGGAAGTTATATCGGTATTTACAGAGTACGATTCTATTTTGTTTTTGTTTAAGTTGAATTAAATTAGATTGATGTAACATACTAGAACGAAGTAGTTATATATTTTTTTAGATTATTCTTATTGTCTATGGGTAGAGGTTAAGTCCCCATTTTAGGTTATTAAGATGGTTACTCGCTCGTTTTAGTCATTTTTATTAGCTATCCCTGATTATAAGTTCTCTAGTCATGTATGACACTCAAATTAAAAGTACATTAAAAATGATCTTAAGTAATCGTATTTTATACTGTTTCAGTCTGTAATATGTTACTTGTGTCAAAAGCGAAAAGGTGACTCGGCTCTATACGCCTTGCCGGCTGGGTACCTCGCCGGCTTGTCGTTCATATTTAAACCGAGTCTAGGCTTTGCGATAGCCTCATTAACTGGTGCTTTTAAGGTAGTAGATGTGTTAATTCATTTTTAATATATATTTAAACTAAGCTGAAATATTCTTGTTTTGGTTCCTCTTGTTGCGCCTGTTGATATAAAATAGCAATAATGTCCAATTGAAACTTTGCTACCTTACAGATATATTCAACGACACTTTATGAAAAGAAGATATTGCCAGAGAACATTCCACTGCCCGTTATATTGTATTGTCTTTGCCAAGGAACTCTCTTCCATGCACGCTTTATGCATCCCGATGTGTGTCCGAGTTATGTTTTTAAACTTATGAAATCCGTCAGTAATGGAACGTAAGTGTAAATCAGACTATTATTATCTTAATAATGGATTTATTTTACCACTTTCACGTGGTAATTACAACGAAAAAGCACTTCTAAGATGCTGATTTTAATTTTTTTTTATTGAAAGCCTTAACATAGATTCAAAATGCAGGATAGTAACAACTTAACTTTTATATAATATTTAATGCAATAGCTTATTGAAGTAAATCCCTGTTTATTACTTACAAAGAATATATAATAATTTTTTTTACAGTTCTGAACAAATTTATTCAAATTTTATGGAGATTCTCAAAACCCAAACGTAATTTGTATTTTTTTACGTGATTTATAATTTAATGGCATTGGTGGAAAGGTTTACAAATGTGATATTTTTATATAAATATCTTAAGGTTATATTTGTATTTTTTTAATAAATATTATAATTTATTATACTCATTTTAGTATTAATTTTAATTAATTTGACAATTGATTTCTTCCAGTTCACATAATTATAATAATCGTAAGAAATCAATTCATTAGAATAATTAAATTGGAAATCAAATTAAAAATGGAAACGTCGCACTCACCTTCTTAAGTAATAATTTGTTAGAGTCCTGAACTTACACTAAGAGCACGCGCAAACCTTTGACTAAACTATCGCACAACTGATTAGTCTCGCTTTGATTCCTATGAGCTTAGGTGCGGACATTACTCGATTTTTAGTTCTGCACAAAACAATTGAATTGGCTGCGAAACAATCGACAATCGCACAACGTTTGTGCGATAGTTTACTTAAAAGGTTTGCTTTAAGTGTCAGTTTAGGGTATCATAAAACGACTCTGGCTAATGTAGAAGTATTAAATCAATATTAATCTGCTCTCGCTCTTGTAGCGCCTGTTGGATTTATAATCAACACTTTCTTGGGATCACCAGGCATGTCTTTCTTCTCCTTTATCCTTCCTTTACCGAAACGACATATCGAATCGCACTGAAAATGTAACGTATAGCTTTTGAGTTTTATAAGGAAAAATATGCTCTACTTGCCAACGAAATCATGAAGTAAAAACAATTAATTGGCAAACTTAGGTCTCCTACTAGCTTACTCATCAGACTGTCTTCTGTGTGGTCATGATTTTTTTTATTATAAGGTGGCAAACAAGCAAGCGGTCACCTGACTCCGGCGAAATGGCAAAGCGAAAGTTGCCTTTGAAATTGCAGATGCGTTGCCTACTCTTAATCGAAGGAGAAGACATACATAAAGAGGATATTTCCCCTTCCTATGCATCTCTTCCGCCGTCAAATCCTTTTATACTTTCCATCCTTACATCTTAAGAAAAGTGTGTAAAGGAAAAATAACTCGTAATTGAGAAATCAGCTCTACCACTATTAGCAGATCTAGAAACATCGATAGAAACACATATTCTCCAGTTTTCTATATAGAGTGACATTTCATTTTTTTATTTATTTATTTGATCATTTTACCAGTAGACCAATGGTAAGTTTGTTAAGCTTAACGCACCTGTGGCAAAGAGTAAAAATTATTTTTGTTTCCACCACAACCGGAATATATCGTTTTCTTGCAAACCTTCCATCGAGGGTCGAAGTACCAACGTGGTACTGCGCCAAAACAGTAGCCGTAGTCGAACGTGAGACCACAATATGGGGGTCGTGAACCTGTTAAGAAAACAAAAAAATAGATATACTGATAATAGACCCAGCCGTTTCGGAGATTATCCGGAACAAACACGGCTTGCGGACACAGTCAAAAAAAAATTTAAATGCGATTTTAGTTATCGGCAACGCAAATACCTCTTACCGAAATCTGGACATTACAGACACTCCAATTTTATTATGTGTATAGATAGATTAGTTATTTTATTTACGTCGCAGATAAAAGGTTGAAATAAATCATGAATTCATTTTACATGCGATTTCGAGTCCTCGGAATTATAGTCAGTAAGTAGCCTATGTGTTCTTCCAGAGTATATTCTAAATTCATGCCGAATTTCATCAAAATCCGTTGTGCCATTTTGGATATGCGGTGAAACAACCATCCATACAAACTTTCGCATTTATAAAATTAGCATGATTATTATTAGAGACTCACTCTGCCTTTCTGGAGTACTCAAGCATGTTGATAAACATTCTTGTTTCGTGTCGAACCTATTCCCGTTACCCTGACATCCTCCCCAACTGAAACGTGGACAGCCACCGGTTTCTGGACTGAAATAGTACATCGCTATATCCGCTCTGCACGGCCCTGACTCCGGTTTTAGATAGCAAATCTTTGCAATAACTGGAACAGTAGTATATTTGATATAAATACAACTATCTCTGTCTTTTAGTAGCCCCAGCTACTTTTAATTATTAGTTAGTGTTTTTGGTCAGATAAATTCATGTTATACGTTTCCGAACTTTAGTAATGATTTTGAATGATTTAGTAATTGAGTTTTAGTACGTTAAAACTTAGGGAACTTCAGAAAAACGAGCATAATTAAAATAAAGGTAAAAGATTAAGGGCCTGTCCCACCAAATTGTAAATGTCTGTCAAAAATCGAACGTGTAAAATTTGTGATGGCAATATCGAATTGTTACCTTATTTAATAGTGATGTTTTAAGCTATCTGAGCCTCTATCAGCCAGTGGTGGGACATGCCCTAAATCAGGAAAAAATTCTATTGAAATGTTCACTAAATCAACGATTCTTTCACCAAAACCTTAAATTGTTAATATACAGACGACAAGACGATAAACAGAGTAAATAGTGTTATTTAAGTAGAAAAAGGAATAGGTTAAATGTTTGAAAATACTAAGTAAGAAAGAAAAGTAAAAAGACATGCATAGAAGAGTTTACGTAGATTTAAAATATTTAGATATAACGTTTTAAACTTTACTCTGTGTTTTGAAAGGAGTAACCCGAGTACGAGGTTCTGATACTATATTTAAACAAAACACAATATGCACTGTTTGCAATAACAAAATAAACGTTAACGACATATTGGTATTTGAAATAATATTACAAGGTTGAAGTAATAATGCAATAACTTGATATAAAATTTAATTTAACTTTATCGAAAAACTACAATAGATTTAAATCACTACAAGTACCTTTCTGTACATAGTCGAGTAACCCTCTAGAATGTATACTCACATACAGCTCACTATACGTCCCCACTGAGGGGTTTAGAGCTTTCCTGTAGGGTGACTAGGCTATCGTCAACCACGCTGGGCCAGTGCAGGTTGACTTCACATATCTTTGAATTTCTTCGCCGATATGTGCAGGCATCACGATGTTTTCCTTTACCGTCAAAACGACGGGTAAATTGTGTACATATGAAATTCGAATATCATATTGGTACATGGCAGGATTCGAAACCCAGGACCTGTGAATTACAAGTCAAGTGCTCAAACCGTGGAGCCATCGACGCTCTTTTTGACGGTTGACGCTCTTCGAATGAAGAATTCGCTCAATGGTTATTATTTGCTAATTATAGTGACACAAACTAATATAATCTGACCCCTTAACAAAGTGACTTTCGATTAGGGATATCAATAGTAGAATTGAGAAAATTTGTCATAACGTATAGGAATAAATACGTGACAAGGATGTAACTTATCGAACTTTTCGATCAGCGATGCTCCAATGTTACTTTGTCTAAGAGACTGGTGGGCTCCTCTTCTCTAATGTTACAGTCCTGTCAGACTCAGCAAAGCAAGCTATCGACGGAACCCCAATTGTTTTATACTTTGATGCTAGGGGACGTTCACTGCTATTCCGATTTGGGTAGTCTATTCCACAATTATACGACATACAATACCCTGATATTAAAAAAAAGTGTTATAAGGGATATTTCCGATTGGCCAACAGATTAAACAGCCCTATGGGATTTTTTCCCAATGGGTCCATTGCTTCAAAATTAAAAATAAAACAAAAAAGGTTCCGCTTTTTTATTGTTAAAAATGACATTGATGATTTATTAAATAATGAACAAAGGAAACATCACTACGAATTTATTATTCACATCAATTTTATGCAAAACAGATATCGTTCAATAAAAGTTTTATTTACAGACTCCCAAAAAATAAAATTTAGTCTAATACATAGTTTCGGCCGGCATAGATACTGCTGGCGAGACACCGTAGAGCTGCACCTGCGTGAGCTTGAGTCGATCGGTTGGCAAGCGACGACGCAGGGCAGACAACGCTGGCGCTCTCTCGTATCGTAGGCCAAGACCCACTTTGGGTCGCTGCACCAACGCACTAAGTAATACATAGTTATTCCAAAAGTCTTATGACAAAATTATTGTGAAATCGATGAATTGCAATTTGGGATCGACATATTTAATTTCTTAAATAACTAGCTATCCATTCGATATAGGGACCTACTGGGCAAGTAAATCCTGCGATATCACTTATAGTATTATCAGTGGGATCTCCGCAGTGTAAGTTAAATCTACCCATTGATAAAACTGCAACTATGCCTGATGGGTGAATGACAGGTCCACCAGAGTCACCTTCACAGGTGGTAGCAAGGCTTCCACATCGATGACCTAAACATAGGAACGGCCCCGATCCTGTCGTCTTCCCGCATTTATTTACTAACACCTTAAATATTTGTAGTTGCTTTTTTAATGTCAAAGTATCGGCAGTTTTGGTTCTGTTATCAGAGATTTCTTTCGTAGTTATTCCAAAACCGCTGAATACAGCTTCATGGCCATACATTGTGTTGAAATCTACAGGACTTAGTTTAATATACCTCTTTAATGGCATAGGATTTGTTTTGATTAGACCAATGTCGTTTTTGACTACAAATTCCTGCATCGATTTTCGGGACACATACATAGGATGTGGAATAACTAAAACAACATCACTGAATGTATTCTTATCGTTTGGTGAGCTATGAACAGAACCATATCTTATCACTAGTCTTACAGGTTGGAATCCTTTAGGATGAATGTCTAATTCTGTTATGCAGTGAGCCGCTGTGAGCGCCCACGTTGATGAAAGAGCAGACGCCGTACATCGATGAAAATGTTTATCTATTACACTACCATTGGCCATCTTTATCATATACCTCATTTCAAGACGAACAACGTACGGATAAGTTTCTTGCTCTGTGTCTTCTCCTCCATAGACTCTCAATGGCTGCTTTTGTCCAGAACATGAACTCGACAGTATCATGATGATGTTTATGGACATTATGTTTTCAAGTGATACAAACATGTTACTTTAAAAATATTCTTTCAACGACTGTTTTACAGTTTCATTTTATTTAAAGACGTAAAATGTTATTATGATTCTGTTCGATACGTTTTGGATATAACATATTTTATGGTATGTTTTAGTAACCTACCACAGTAAAGACTTATTATTTGCCGATTTGAGAAAGTCAGTGATTTTTTATTTATTGGAGATACCATTAACACATTTTATATAGATTTTTTTTTTCATAGTATTCCAAAATCAGCTAATAATATTATCTTGTCCAAACATTGTAAGGAAACCTGTATACAAGTCATTCTCAAATTGGAACCACTTGTAATGGGAGAACCTTGGGATCTACGAGAGACCCACTGTTGGTCCACAAAAATTGATAACAAATTGAAGGTCCACGTACTTTAAATTTGGATCTATGAAAATATTATTTCATGGTATTGTAAATTTATTCAAGTGTGAATCACCAAAAGCAGGTTGACACAATGCAGTAAACTTTAAAAGGAGTCCTCAAAGAGTAAGGTTAGGGAAAGTCTGAGATAAACTATGGTAAAAAGGTTGTTATTATTAAGTCTATGTCATTATCGACAGTAAATAAAGTGGATAGAGTTAAAATAAAAATAATAACAAGGTTCGAATTTTTATTTTTAATCATTAAAAAGATTTAAAAGAAATAGTGTCTTGCAATTCATATTAAAATTAGCTATAGAAATAAATAGATTTTCTCATGACATGTCATTTAATGCATCTTACTAATACAGATTCTAAGGATGTACTAATAAAATCTATGATCTTGTACTAACTGCACTATCCTAAAAGTCACGGAACGTAATTATAACAGAATTGGGAAAGTTTAGTTTTAAACTAATATACATTCAATTTTTTACATGACTAGTTATCCATTCAACATAAGGACCAACTGGGGAAAAAAACCCTGCGACTTCAATAAAAGTATTATTAGTGGAATGACCGCAATATACGTTAGGCCAACCTAATGATAAAACTCCAACTATGCCTGAAGGGTGGATAACTGGCCCTCCAGAGTCGCCACCACAAACAGTAGCACTGCTTCCACATCGATGACCTAAACACAATAACGGACCCGATCCCGGCAGCTCCCTGCATTTATTTATTAACACCTTAAATATTTGTAACGGCATTTTTAATTTCAGTGTACCGCCAGTTTGTGTTTGGTTAGCAGATATTTTTTTCGTAGTGACACCAAAACCACCGAATACAGCTTCATGGCCATACATTGTGTGGAAATCTAAAGGACTTAGCTTAATGTACTTCTTTAATGGCATAGGATTTGTTTTTATAAGGCCAATGTCGTTTTTAATTACAAAATCCTGCATCGATTCTCGATGCACGTACATAGGATGTGAAATAACTAAAACAACATCACTGAATGTATTCTTATCATTTGACAAACTATGTACAGAACCATACCTTATTATTAGTCTACTAGAGTAGATAACGTCAAGGTACAAGTTTAAGTCTGTTAAGCAGTGGGCGGCTGTGATCGACCACGTTGATGACAGTGCAGACGCCGTACACAGATGCTTCTGTTTATCAATCATACTTCCATTGACCATCTTTTTTGTATACTTTATTTCAAGGCGAACAACATACGGATAAGCTTCTTGGTCTGCATCTTCGCCTCCATAGACTCTCAATGGTTGTTTTTTGGCAGAACATAAACTCGACAGTATGACGACGCTGAGTATGTACATTATGTTTTCAAGTGAAGCAACGTTGAAACTATGAAATGATTGTTTTCAACAACTGTTTACCAGTTTTGTTTTATTTAAAGACATTAAATTTTATCATGATAATTGAATTCTATGCGTTTCGAAATTTACATATAAATTTTATTACAATATTGAAATGATTTAAGTACATTCGTAGAAATTTTGTGAAATTAAACAATGTTCGATTTTTGTAACAAATATAATCATATACTTACAAACAAACGAAATAGATAAGACATATTGTCAAGAATATATCACCTGAAATGGCTTTCCAAAGGGACATGTCACAAGATGCACGATGCTAAATGAACATGTAGAAGAGTCGGGTAAACGAATGTAGCCGTGAAATGGGAAAAAGTGTCGAAGACTACAACGTTTGCAATGGGAGCACGACTTAAGATTAACAGCCGGTGCATATTGGAGAACAGTTAAACGACATAAAACACTCATTCATTAGTAGTTTCTTGTCTAGGCATGGTGTAAAAAAATATAAAACAATAATTTTTTATAACTTTTTGAAGACCTTGGTTTTATACGGACTATAACTTTATTTGTCTATACTATTATAATAAAGCGTAAACACACACTTCTTTGTTGCCTAAGTTGTCAGCAATTACACCTTATTTCTGAATAATTCTTTTAATAATAAAAAGCCCTACACTTACGTCACGCTTTAGGCTATATATTTCCACGCCATTAAACTTAGGGGATGTTGGGGAGACCATAAGTTTCCTCCAACATCAAGCAAGCAAGTTTGCTAACGTCATGTCATTTTGACATTTGCAATTGATAATTTGACACATGTAAACAATAAAATAAAGTTTTCATAATTCCATGCGGATGAAGTCGCATGGGAACAGCTAGTGGTAAATAAAGCTGATTAAATTGAAATTAAAATGAAACAAAACAGTTTGGAAGTACATGCTATTTACATATTTTATACCAATAATGTTTAAAAAATAAATATATGAGGCACAGACAACAAAAATTTTTCACCGGTACTTTCTCTGAAAGGTACAAAATAAAATGTAAAGATTCAAATAATGTTAATTACATATATTGACAATCATTTAATTATATTGACGTGGTGTTTGAGGATTCATATCTTTTTATACATAGTAATTTCATATCTTACAGTGAATGAAGCTTCCATATTTATACTTCTTTTTGACCGACTTCCCAAAAGAAGGAGGGACTCAAGTCGTCGTAAGTTTGCGAATTCACATAATTTATTTTGGTTTATACATAAATACATATTTTCTTTTTCAATTTATTAATTTATAAAAGATATATCATTATTCGAAAAGTCCCAGGTCAAAATTATTTTGAAAACTGCGAATTGAAGCTAAGAATTGGTACACGCTCAATTTCTTACATAACTAGCTATCCATTCGACATAAGGACCTACTGGGCAAGTGAATCCAGAGTTATCATTATCAGTATCTTGAGTTTCTTCTCCACAATACTTATGACCATATCCTGATGATAATACTGCAACTATTCCTGTCGAGTGTATTACAGGCCCCCCAGAGTCCCCACCACATACAGTAGCCTTACTCCCACATCGATGACCCAAACATAAATGTGGCCCTGATCTCGGTTCCTTCACACATTTATTTATTGACACCTTAAATATCTGTAACGGCATTTTTAATTCTAGTGTACTGCTAATTTCGGTTCTGTTATCAGGGAGTTTTTTCGTAGTTATTCCAAAACCGCCGAATACAGCTTCATGGCCATACATAGTATTGAAATCTACAGGACTTAGCTTAATATATATCTTTAATGGCATAGGATTTGTTTTTATGAGGCCAATGTCATTTTTAACAAATGAATAATACTTGGATAATCGGTACCCATACATAGGATGCGGAATCACTAAAACAACATCACTGAATGTATTCTTATCGTTTGGTGAGCTATGAACAGAACCATATCTTATCACTAGTCTAACAGGTTCGAGACCTGTAGGATGAATGTCTAATTCTGTTATGCAGTGAGCCGCTGTGAGCGACCACGTTGATGATAGAGCAGACGCTGTACATCGATGGTGGTGTATATCTGATGCACTACCATTGGCCATCTTTATCATATACCTCATTTCAAGGCGAACAACATACGGATATGCTTCTTTGTCTGCGTCTCCTCCTCCATACACTCTCAATGGTTGCTTTTTTCCAGAACATACACTCGATAGAATGACGATGATGAGTATGTAGATTAAATTTTCAATTGAAGCAAACATGTTACTATAAAAATATTCTTTCAACGACTGTTTTACAGTTTGGTTTTATTTAAAGATATTAAATTTTATCACAATAATTGAATACTATGCGTTTTAAAATTTACATGTAAATTTCATCACAGTTTTGATTCCTTAAAATTATTTAAGTATCTACATTACCAGAATTTTTGTTAGCATGAGTCTTATACATAAACATTGTGCAAGTTCCAAAATAAAACATATGTTGGAAAACAGTAATTTATTTTGTGAGAAAATATACATTTGTGTGAAAATCTACACTTATTTTCATTAACTCTTTAAAGCCTTGTTTTGTATGGATTATTTCTTTATTTACGTTAAATAAAGCGGATTTAATTGAAATTAAAATGAAACAAAATGGTTTCGACATATATGCTATTTATTTATTTTAAGCTGAAACATTTTAAAAATATCTAGACGAGGCAGAGTCAACAATTTCTTTAAAAAGCGGTGAATGGTGCCTTCCAACTATTCCACATTCAATGTCTTACATAACTAGCTATCCATTCCACATAAGGACCTACTGGGCAAGTGAATCCAGAGTTATCAATATCAGTATCCTGAGTTGGATCTCCACAATACTTGTGAGGATAACTTGCGGATAAAACTGCAACTATGCCTGAGGGGTGAATGACAGGCCCTCCAGAGTCCCCACCACATACAGTAGCGATGCTCCCACATCGATAACCTAAACATAAATGTGGCGCGGATCTCGGTTCTTCCATACATTTAGTTATTAACACCTTAAATATTTGTAGCGGCTTTTTAAATTTCAGAGTATCACCTTTTATTATTTTGTCAGCAGATTTTTTTTTCGTAGTGACTCCAAAACCACCGAATACAGCTTCATGGCCATACATGGTATTGAAATCAATAGGACTTAGTTTAATATACCTCTTCAATGGCATGGGATTTGTTTTTATAAGACCAATATCATTTTTTGGAAATGAACTATGTACGGCTTTTCGATGCATGAACATAGGATGCGGAACCACTAAAATAACATCACTGAATGTATCCTTATCATTTGACAAACTATGTACAGAACCATACCTTATTACTAGTCTACTGGAATAGATAATGTCAAGGTTCAAGTTTAAGTCTGATAAGCAGTGGGCGGATGTGATCGACCACGTTGATGACAGTGCAGACGCCGTACACAGATGCTTTTGTTTATCAATCATACTTCCATTGACCATCTTTTTTGTATACTTCATTTCAAGGCGAACAACATACGGATAAGCTTCTTGGTCTGCGTCTTCGCCTCCATAGACTCTCAATGGTTGTTTTTTGGCAGAACATAAACACGACAGTATGACGATGATGAATATGTACATTATGTTTTCAATTGAAGCAACGATGTAACTATAAAATTATTGTTTTCAACAACTGTTTTCTAGTTTCGTTTTATTTAAAGACATTAAATTTTATCCTAATAATTGAATTCTATGCGTTTTGAAATCTACATATAAATTTTATTACAATATTGAAATTATTTAAGAACATAAGTAGAATTTTGTTAACATAAGTCAGTAAATACTGACATTGTGCATGTTCTTAAACGAAGTTTCATTTTTGTAGCAGGTATAGTCATATAGAGACATACAAACGAAATAGATAAGACATCTTGTCCAGAATATATACCCTGAAATGGCTTTCCAAAGGGACATGTCTCTAGATGCAAGATGCTAAATGAAAATGCAGTATAGTCGGGTAGACGAATGGTATCCGCGGATTGAGGAAAAGTGTCGAAGACTACAGCGTATTCGAAGGGAGCACGACTTAAGATTAACAGCCGGTGCATATTGGAGAACAGTTATAAACGACATAAAACACTCATTCATTAGTAGTTTCTTGTCCATGCGTGGTGCGAAAATATAAAACAATAATTTTATAACTTTTAAAAGGTACAGGCCTTGGTTTCATACGACTATAACTTTATCAACGGTAAATTAAGCTGGTTAAATTGAAATAAAAATGAAACAAAACACTTTCGAAATTCACATTATTATTT